ACAATTTGTTTTCCTTTTTTTTTTTTTTTTTTTTGCCTCTCATACTCATTTTCAAATCGAAATAAAATATATTTCACGTAAAATTCAAATTATTTTCTTACTTTTTAATTACACATTCTTCCAAAATTTATTATTAAAAAATTCATGCTTTCCAATATAGATATCAAACAAGGGCTAAATAAGTGTCAATTCTTTAGGATTTACTTAAATTACACTTGTATATTTAATATTTTACTAATAAATTATTTAATATATTTCACAAACAATATAACAATCATATATGTTTCAAGCGCATCAATTCTATTCTAATATTTTTGCCAATATGTCTTAATATCCAAACTGCATCTTAAATAGATAAAAAAAAAATCAAACCAAATGACTGGTATTTAAATTGGAAGGGCATATTAATTCAAATTTACTTGCTTTTTCCTGTAAAACAAACTTATTTTTTTTGAAGAAGCTGAATGATGATAAAATATTACACTTCAAATCTTGCATGAATTATCACATCGAGTTGAATCATGTTCACCTTTCAATGGAACTAATAGCGAAATTTTACAATGCAAATAGATGATCATAACATCCTTATTCTATCATAATGAGATGACTTCAAGACGAGTTGATTTTAGTCATATTTAACGGGTATAAATCACAGTCATGTTTAGTATGCAATGACGAATATAATCTAATAATATAACGAATACGATATTAATTTTCCTAACATGGTCCATCAGCGCAAATTAAGTTTGATTTATTAAACAAATTATAAAGGAGTTTAGCCTAGGATGTTATTTGTTTAGGTTGGATGAAGTGGACTAATGGAGTTGAGAGGTAAGTTAGACCAACTCTTTCATTTTGTTTTCTCCATTGGTTATCTTGCTAATTGAAGATTGAAACCACCCCCTCCCCCAAAATTTTTTGTGGACATATACCATATTTTTTTTCCTAACTTTTGTATCGAATGTCTTTTAAGTCTAACAATTATTAAAGGTGAGTCGAAAAAATACGAAAGTGATCACAGAAATGTAATAATCATATATTGATTACAAGGCCTCGTATGCACATAGAGATTAATAGTGTGGTTGCCTATGCTTATCTAGTGTGCTACTTTGATAACATGCTTTATTCTTGGGTGTCTTTTGTGCTCTCTAGTCTTATAAGTTATAATTAAAGAAGTTGTGTTTGTTCTCGAAACTTGCCCTCGAACATCTTTAAATTTTGAATCTAGAACAAACGGAAGAAAAAGATCAATTATACCAACTCGAATTTGAACTATAATTCAGATGAGGTTTGATCGAAATCCTTTTTCTGCCATATGAACTCAGATTATACTTTTCCCACCTTTTCTTTTTTATCCTATATTTTTCGTCGAAGGTCTTCATTCCCTTGTATTTGATCACGTCTTTCTTGATCCAGTTGTCGATGGTTATACAATTTAATCAACAATTTGGTACATGAATCAGAGAAAATAAAGAAAATGGACTGTTAGATCATGAAATTCACTCAAGAAAACTGAGAACCTATCCGCTCGAGTCCTCGCATGTGGCAATTATTTAAAATAACGCTATTTGCAGCTGCTCACTATCGTAATTGTTCTACATGAATTATATGTGACGGTTAGCGATTTGAGCCTATGATAATGAAAATAGCATTACTCAATTATTTATCACTAAGATGGTCCCCGATGCATCATATTTGAGCCAAATATTAAACTTTTACAATCTATTTTAATATGTAGACACAATCCCAGTTAAAAGGAAAAAAGGAATTCCAAGATTTGGTTTACAATATTCTGCAATTAGCAAACTGTCAACAAGCCTATTGCTACCTAATTTTTTAGCCATTAAATTGGGCTGTTGAGGGATAAGAATTGATAGGGTTTCCTAATTGGTCCCTATATGTCCCGTGTCAACATACTTGTTACAAGTCAAGTAATATCTTAAGAGACACTGAAATTATGGTTAATGTATCAAGTTAGGACATTTTTCTTGATTTTATAATGATGAATTTCCACCTAATCTTGTTCGTTTTTTCTTCGGTAACATCGCTTCCGACTTTCTATGTAGATGTTGGATCTTAAAAGTTTTCATGAATGATTTGACTCGGACACCAATCTAGCTGAAGTGCCATGTCATTGAGTCAATGATTAAACTGATGGATCACTTATTAGACTCGTGTCTCATTGCTAAAAATTTTCAATGTATAAAAATTTATTTTTGTGACAAAACAAAAATTTAAATCGTTTCTTAATAATTTTTTTTTTTAAATGTCTTAGAAGATCCTTAATATTATTCTAATAAAATCTACAATGATTCCTTTTCATGTGCAAAGATGTTAACTATTATCAACCAAAAACTTTTGTATCCTAACAAATTTGAATTATCTTAGCAAAAATTATCTTTCTTAACAAATTTATAAGAGAACTTTTTGATAATTAAAAAACTAATAAATAGTTTTTTAATATTTTACTGGATTATCTACTTTATATATAAGATCGAGATTTTAAAAAAGAAAATATATCTATTGTAATCATAAATTAACAAGTATTTGTCTCAATTGTTGTGTTGCTACCTTTTACAACAGAGGTTTGGGATCAATCCATCCCCCTGCCAATTTGAAAAATGAATTTTGAAATCGATGAATTGGGTCAACGGTTTTCAATGGAAGCGTAGATTTTAGTTAAATTTTACCGGGGTCTTATATGTAAACGCCTTCTCTATCTGTTTGGAGGTGTGCACTTGTGCTATAATATCTTCTTATAGTCTTTAATGATGCACCTACAATATAATAGTCAACAAATCATGAATAAAAAATAATGCTCTAAGCTCGACCTCTATATATATATATATATATATATAAATCGATGTTATGTAAAGATCCAAACTTTTTCTAGTCTCAGAAGAGTTCTTTGTCTCACATGATTGATTTGTATTGACTGGGTTTTCGCCGGTTGATGGAGCCATGATCTCGAAGCCTTTGAAGTATATTTTGTTTGTAGGTGCCTTTATTAGCACAAAAAATTTGCCGTTGATAGATATCGCTCGGTCTCCACCCCTCCTTTTCCTCATCACCTTTTAGAGTATACAACAGGTAAATCGCAGGTTATGCCTCCAAGAGTATAGGGTGGAAGGCTGCTTGTACACTTGCACTATCTATATATTTTTTTATTTTTATTTTTTTTTCTAACTATTATCGCTCTTAGAGGAGGATGTATAATTTTTTGACGGGCCTATAATGGGCTGATGGGTTTGTTGTCCAATAAGATGATCTTCAACACAAAATAATCGACCATTCTGCAATTACCAAATTATCTCTAATCAAACCTTATCTTCTCCCCTGAAAGCTCCTCAATTCCACTCTAATGGCTACTCTGAACCTCTCTATCCATCCTAAAACCCTAACTTCCACCCACAAAACCCTAACCAATCTTTATCGCTCCTGCCCATTTCACTCCACCTCCATATCATTCCTTTCCTGCACTTCAACATACCAAAACCCATCGAGAACTGCCGCTTTCCCTGTACTGAGAGCTATAACTGATGGAAATTACTCTTCCAAAAGAAGCAGCAGCAGTGAGGAAAGGGAAACGATAATGTTACCTGGCTGTGACTATAATCACTGGCTTATTGTCATGGAGTTTCCTAAAGACCCTGCTCCTACCAGAGAGCAGATGATTGAGACTTATCTCAATACTCTTGCCACCGTTCTTGGCAGGTTTGTTTCTCTTTTCGTTTTCGGAATTCCAGATCATGGTTTGTGTTGAAGATAAATATTTATATGAATTCGCATAGGTTCACTTTTAGAGCTTAAGATTTTGGATACAAATGATTAACATAGTATTAGAGTGAGTAAAAGACCTCCATTTATTAAAATTGTGCACTTTTAAGACTTTGATATGGAAAAAAATGAACCTAATAGTTGAAGCTTTTGGATGAGCTGATTAACAATTTGTTTTGTATTTTCTTTAATTTTGTTGCTTACAGGGAAATATAGCTATATTTTCTTTGGTCAATTGGGTTTGGATATTTGTATTTCTTTATGTTGTTCATTAGGTAGTAGTTGTGAACATTTTCTTCCCTTTTTCCCTCTTTATGCTGTGGTACATTGTGAAAACACTTTAGTATAAAGTTTAATGGATAGTGTTAAGAGTGTTAAATGGGCGACTTGGGCGAGGTAAATCATGCTAGGTTATGAGCGGCTCGCACGATGAATTTGTTGCTCGCCCGCTAGCAGGGCAAGCCGAGCCAGTGAGCTGCTCATCCCACTTAACACCTCTAGATAGTAGTAGGTAGATGTCTTATGGTGGATTGAGGTTAATAGCATTCTTTGTTTTTTCATTCTTTATTTGCATAATAAATCATGTGACATAATGTGTAGCGTGGGGATGGGTTTGACTAAATAATAATAGATATGAAATTCTGCTAAATGAAAAATCAAATAATAATATTCAACTTAAGGTGTGCGTGTGCCAAATGTAACCTTTACGTCCGTGGAAAATTATAGAATCGATATTGATGCATTATCCCTTACGAATCCTACTATTATGTTCTTGATTTAAGCAATAATGAAACTGCAGTAATTAATGCCCATACTGTTTAATAGGGAGAAGAGACAATGCACAAAATTTCTGACTTTTATTTTTTGCTTATACCTTATTGAATCTTATCTATTTCTGTCGAATCTAACACGCCATACTTTCATGGAATGGAGTATCAGGAACCAATTTTTTGAGATTATAATTTGACAAAGATAGGAGAAAGTATTACTAAAAATAATAATTATCTCTAGAAGGGGGTTTCATATGCGTAGGGTTGGCTCTTAAAACCTTTTGAGTATGTGGTGGGGATGTATAAGATTTATAGGGCTGAACATTTTTCTCAATATATATATATATGTGTGTGTGTGACATTTATGGACTGTTCTTACTGTTGTAGCATGGAAGAAGCAAAGAAGAATATGTATGCTTTTAGTACGACTACGTACACTGGATTTCAATGCACTGTATCTGAAGAAACATCAGAGAAATTCAAAGGTACTTGTATTCAACAATTGACATCCATTTTTTACTTTCATAAAAAATTATGAGTTTCCAGGTTCTAGACCAACTATATACGAACGATGTTTCTGTATTTGTAGGTTTGCCAGGTGTTTTGTGGGTTCTGCCTGATTCATATATTGATGTTAAGAACAAGGACTATGGAGGTTCTTTATTTTTACAACCAAGTTTTGTATCTCGATCTAAATCGTAAAGTGACTTCAGTGATCCATTTATATTAACTCTGTATTTTTTTTTCTCTCCCAAGGTGACAAGTACATTAATGGAGAGATAATTCCTTGCCAATACCCAACTTATCAGCCAAAGCAGTCTAGAAGTTCAAAATACAAGAGCAAAGCATATGTGAGACAGAGAGATGGTCCTCCTGCTGAACGAAGAAGACCAAGACAAGAAGTGACTCCTGAATCTACATCTTGATGAAAGTTCAGTTGGTGCGAATTTTTTTTTCCATGATTGATTCCGTTGATATTAGCGTCTTATAGCATGTATGGTGATGAGGACTTTATGGTACTGGACAATATCGGGAAGAACTAATTGTGTTTGGTCCGTTAAAAAATATTAATGTTGTTATTGTTGCTTGCTCGTTTGCAGGTGGCATATTGGTCACTGAATAGGTAGAGGGTTTATGTAGATGGGATGTAACGAACTCTGCTTATTTTTGAAACTTTGGTTGGTGACTCCTATTGTTAGTTATCGATATTGACACTCATTTCTCATACGACTAGTTCACTTTGGATTAATCTTGTTTACCAGTAATGATAGGTGGCGAGCCCTGGTAATGTAGCAGGGCTCGTTCACTCTATTTACCTGACACACGTTTTGTAGCCAAATTTTTACTGAGCTGATATGGTAAAATGCGGGTTATGCTGACGTTAAATGTGCATTTGGTATACAGTATAGATATGACTAAACCTTATAAACAAGAAAAATAAGCTAAAATCTCGTTCGTAATAGTGTTGAGTCCAGTTTATCTCATATTGATCCTAGGAGTGCCCATACATGGTGAAGGAGACCTGAAATATAATGACAGGTTATTATCAAAATCTGCCATCAGCTTGAGGAGGAGAAGCCTGACTTGAAGATACTCTAGAATTTCAGAGCCTTGACTCAATGCAGGCATCTCGACATGAAAAAATCGAGCATGTACAAAATGTCTTTCAATAATAATATAACTGCCTTGATACCATCTTGTATTCCTGTTACTATTTACTCGCGCATTCTAAGGAAATAACAAATACTTTGCTACTCATTTTTATCTATTATAATTAAAGTAGTTAATAATTATGTCACAGCACCTGCTACATCTTAGACACTTTGATTCTATAAAGTTGGTAAACAAATTGAGTTGATTGTTCTAATGGTCAATGAATTTAGGTTTATGTCTTTGATTGATCACTGAAGTTTAAAATGTCGAGTTTTAGTCACTAAACTTAGGACAATGTCTTCGATTGTTCGCTAAAGTTTGAAATGTCGACTTTTGACCATTGAACTTTGAAAAATGTTGTAAATTACTCATTGAACTTTAAAAAATGCTATACATTATTCACTGTAAATTTGATATTTTTTAAAGTTCAACGTTTATACTAGTGAGTAATGTTTGACATATTTTAAAGTTCAGTGATCAAAATTCGACATTTTAAATTTCAGTGAACAATCGAAGATATGGACTTAAGTTCAGTGAGCAATCGAAGACATCGATTTAAGTTCAGTGATCAAAATTCGATATTTTAAATTTCAGTGGCCAATCAAAGATATGGATCCAAATTCAGTGATCATTGGAACAACTAACTTAAAAAAAATCCCAATCTGCTTTGACCTGCAACTTTCATCGGCCTAATCTTAAAAGTGATGACCGATGTACAAAAATATTGTGCACACTTATTTCCATCCAGACCAGTAAGGACCGACTCGCATTGAAATTAAAATGTTTCAAGGTTTAAAAAGAAAAAAATGATTCTTGACCGAAGTACTCAAGTGATAAAGTTTAGGGACCGAAACTGAAAATTTCTCCTTCTTCCCTGCCGCGCCCTTCTTCTTCGTCCAGAAGGCGGCGACTGCCAATTCAATGTAGCGAGAGAGAGAGAGGTCACCACCAATGAGTGCCTCCAGGATCGCCTTCAACCATCGACGATCACTGTCCGCCATTTCAGGCGGGTTTTCCACTGGTATTTGCATTAAATTTGGGTACTTTCACGCTGAATATGCTTGTGATTCTATCTGAGTTCATGCATCCATTTTAGATTTCTCTAAAGAATTAATTCTCTTCAGCTGGTAATCATGGTATTGGAGACTTTTCGACGCTCTCTCTGCCAATTTAATTTAAACTGGTGGGCATTCCATCATGTAATTGTGCATGCACTCCGTCTGATAAAATGTCTCACTAAGAGCATGCTTGACTGAGCACGAAAAGAAGTAAAAAGTTGCCTTTTTTTTTTATTCAACTTAAAAAACTTACCTTTCGAGAAAGCGAGTGCTTTGTTTTGCTGGATTAATTTTCCCCAGTGAATAAAGATACTCTTATCCTACCCCTAACTTGATCCCCTTTCACTTAAAGGCTTCCAAAGCGATTCTAAAGACCAAAGAGTCGTCTGTGAAGGCACGAATTAGTCCTTACTCATAGTAGAGTGTAGGGCAGGTCTGGCTATGGCAAGACTTGGACGTGCAAGTCTGCATGATGGAGATTGGCATGCTCTAATAACGTCCAATTGTTTCACTGTATATGCTTCGGAGTTCAAGTTCTTAGAAAAGGAGAGTTAACCATTCAGATGAAGGCCATACTTAATATAGAGTTCTTTAATATTTCTTGGAATATCATGATGTTTTATTTTTCATTTCACTTGCATTTTTTGGTTGTCTTTGCTGGTTATCTATGGTAACAGAGTTATAAGGAAAGCTTTTTGTTGGTTTATGGAGATTTTTTTTTGTTTTTTTTGTTTTTTGGCTTGTAGGGTAGCTCCTTTGCATTACTTGTTGTCGTATTAACTAGTTTATAATTTGATCTTGGTTCCTCTAGGTGATGTATTTTTAACAGAGATCGAGTAGTTTGAATGGACACAATGAAATTGGTTGCCCGGAAGAGTCGCAACTCATTAGGATCTTCAATTCAATTGATGTCTCCTCACCAACACCTTAAAACCACATCCTGTAAATTGAACCCTCCAACTGAAACCCCGACTACTATTGCAGGAGTGCCAAGGAAAAGCAAGTTTATTTCTCATGAGTCGGCAATCAACTTAATAAGACAAGAAAATGATCCAGAATGTGCCCTAGAAACTTTTAACAAGGTGTCGCACCAGAGGGGTTTTAATCATAATAACTCCACCTATGCTATCATTCTCCACAAGCTTGCTCAATGCAAGAAATATCAGTCCCTTGACACAGTTCTTCATCAGATGACCTACGAAACTTGCAAATTCCAAGAAGGCATATTTCTTAATCTTATGAAGCATTTCTCGAAATCATCTATACATGAAAGAGTGCTTGAAATGTTCTACTCGATTCAGCCAATTGTACGTGAGAAGCCATCTCTCAAAGCAGTCAGCACGTGTCTTAATCTTCTGGTTGATGCAAATCAAATTGATTTGGCCAGGACTTTGCTATTGACGGCACGGAAAGACTTTCATTTGGAACCCAATACATGCATCTTTAACATTTTGGTTAAACACCACTGCAAAAGGGGAGATCTAGCGTCTGCATTTGAAGTGGTAAAAGAGATGGAAAAGTCAAAGGTATCTTTTCCTAACTTGATCACCTATTCAACTCTGATGGATGGTCTTTGTGGAAGCGGCAGACTAAAAGAAGCAATCGATCTGTTTGAGGAAATGCTCACAAAACATCAAATTGTGCCTGATGCATTAACTTACAGTGTTTTAATCAATGGGTTTTCTCGTGGAGGAAAAACTGACAGAGCTAGGAAGATAATGGAATTCATGAAGAAAAATGGATGCAACCCTAATGTAATCAATTACTCAGCATTAATGAATGGGTTCTGTAAGGAGGGAAGACTGGAGGAAGCCAAGGGAACTTTTGATGAGATGAAAAGTGCTGGTCTGAAACCTGATACTGTTATTTTTACCACTTTAATTAACTTCTTGTGCAGAGCTGCTAGAACTGATGAAGCCATTGTTCTGCTCAAGGAGATGAAAGAAAATGAGTGCAAAGCAGATGAGGTGACGTTTAATGTAATACTCGGGGGATTGTGCAGAGAAGGTAGATTTGATGAGGCACTCAACATGCTCGAGAGGTTACCATATGATGGTGTTTATCTTAACAAGGCTAGTTACAGGATTGTGTTAAATTTCTTGTGCAAGGAAGGTGAATTGGAGAAGGCGAATAATTTGTTGCGTCTGATGCTGGATAGGGGTTTTCTGCCCCATTTCGCTACATCAAATGAGTTACTGGTTCGTCTTTGTGAGGCCGGAAAGGCAAATGAAGCTGCTGTTACGTCGTTCCTTTTGATGGATATGGGGTTTAAACCAGAGCCAAATACATGGAGTCTACTAATTGATGTAGTTTGCAGGGAGAGAAAGCTATTACCTGCGTTTAAACTTCTTGATAAGCTAATCATGAAGGACTTCTAAAGCAATAAACTGATTCTTTCTTTATGTAGTAGTAGAACAAATGTATGTCTACAAACATGTATTACTAACGTATCTAAAATAATTCATATATTTGAAATTAGTTTTTTTATTCTCGTAGCTGCATTTTTATTTTCTTTTCTATTGAACTTTTCAAGCTGATTATGGAATTTGCAAAATCTACTAATGCCGGTTTTCTCGAATACAACACAAAGAATGTACCTTTTTACTGATTGGGATCAACTTGTCACGTAGGCTATTTGTTGCAGGTTTCCAATTAGTGTGCACAGATTGAAAGTTTGAAGATGTGTGTGTGAAATAGAATTGAATGAAGACAGAAATGGCATATTTTGTGAAGTTTAAGGACTCCGGTTGGTAGGTAGAAAAATGCAGTTATGATAAAATTGGGTTGACCTTAGTCTGCTCTAGTTGTGTGATTTTCTAGAAATCCAATTACTGATTTAACCGCAACTTGAGAATAGTTCCATCAATATGTAATACATCAAATGTTAAGAACTAAATCTAGTCAATGCAGCACTATGTACTAACCATTAACACATTACATCATTTTCTCTACTTTTTCAACCATTGGAAAGATGACCATGTTTCTTTTTTTCTTTTTTTTCAAGTGTCATCAAACAACATGGCAGGATGTTTGGTGAGGATTAAAATTAGATTTTTAACAGATTTTGATAGAAATTTTTCGAAATGTGTGGTCAAAAAATTGTGGAACCCATGAAAATGTAATTAACATTGTTTGTTTGATTTTAACTCATATTAAAATCTGAGCCAAATAGGGTTAGATCAAATAGATTTATACATAGAGAATACAAATCTCCGATGATTTTAAAAGTAATTGTGAACTTGAAACTGTGTCCATTTAAATCAAAAGTTGCAAAATTTCTCCATTTCCGCATAGTAGGAGCCTATATGAAACATGAAAAGGATTTCCCTTTCCGATTTCCCAAGCACTGATAGAGTGCTTAGAGCAGCAACTGCAGCCGAGAAGAAGCAAGAGACTGCTGCAAACTGTCATCGATGTCCCTTGCCCAGTCGAGGAGTCGTTTTAAAGTATTAATACAAGTGATCTCAACTATTTCTTACATGGAAGCCTTTACTCTTTCTCATAAGGCTTTTGGGAAAGTCACATTGCTTGTGCCCTGTAGGCAATATCATTGCATTACTTACCTTCTTTGTATTAAATTTTTTCTTGAAATTGCAATGTTGTCAAGAAAGTTTAATAGATTGACAGGAGTAAATAAATATTAAAGTACTTCCTCAAAATAAATAAAT